CATCCATCCATCCGTCCTTCATTACATCCATCCATCCGTCCTTCATTCCATCCTTCCTTCCATCCATCCATCCGTCCTTCATTCCATCCATCCGTCCTTTATTCCATCCATCCGTCCTTTATTCCATCCATCCATCTGTCCTTCATTCCATCTGTCCATCCATCTGTCCATCCTTCCTTCCATCCTTCCGTCTTTCCGTCCGTCCATCCATCCATCCATCCATCCATCCATCCTTCCATCCATCCATCCATCCATCTATCTGTCCTTCATTCCATCCGTCCTTCATTCCATCCATCCATCCTTCATTCCATCCATCCTTCATTCCATCCATCCATCATTCCATCCATCCATCCATCCATCATTCCATCCATCCATCCATCCATCCATCCATCTTCATTCCTTCCTTCCCACTTCCTGAGCCAGGATTTGAACCGGTGACCTTCTTGCTGACAGGCAACAGTCCTGCCCACTGATCCACCGTGCTGCCGCAGTCATCAGAACACAAAATCAAAAAAGCAGCTAGATTTTAGCTTGAAAGGTCTTTGATTACAGCAGGTGTCATGTTTATACAAAGTAAATAAAATAAATCCAAATCTTCAGTCTATGAAAATGTAAAGAATCCAGTTAGAAGCCAGTAAAGTGAACACCAGTGATTCTAAAATACCATTTGGTCCCAAGAAAGAAAGTTCACTTGTAATAAAGACAAATGGAATAAAATGGATCTGCACTGTGTTTTGTCATTTAGAGCAGCTGAAGCACATCGAGGACGGCATGACTCAGATTAACGAGGACATGAAGCAGGCTGACAAGCACCTGAACGACCTGTCCAAGTGCTGCGGTCTGTGTGTGTGCCCCTGTGACAGGTACGCTGCACGCCCTGCGCGGTTCTTTGGTATGTAAAGGTCCAACACTTCTCTGGCGCAGCTTCAGTCTGTGTGGACGCACTTGAACGCAGCACGAAGCTCCAGCAACAGAGTTGTTGGAATGACAGATGGTCTTTAACATGAACACCACGTGCCTTTATTTAGAAAAGATTGCTGTTTTGGTTCATGTGAGTTGGGAGATGTTTGAAACACTAAAACTCAAACTCTTCCTGAAATGCCTTCGCTTCGGGCCAGACACTTTGATTATCATGAAGTAAGGTAGGAACCTCTCTGCTGTGCTGCTTTCTCTGTCTGGAAGTTTTGATTTGGACTTGTCTGACTCTGGGCTTCTAACAGAGCTCCTGACCTTCTTCACCACAGGGTCAACTCTGTGGAGACCGACCAGCGCTACAAGCGCACGTGGGGCACAGGAAGTGAGCAGGGAGACGGCAGCAACTCGACAGTGGTCTCGAGGCAGCCGTCAGGTGTTCGTAATGGACAGACTGTCCAGGTGCAGGCCGCCGCCCCCTCAGGTCCATACATCAAGAGGTGTGCCTCAGAGCTCACAGTTTGGGTCCAACACTTTTCTGCATCCCGTTTTAAATGATGACCCAACGTCACCGTGGATCTCTGCAGGATAACCAACGACGCACGCGAGGATGAAATGGAGGAGAACCTGGAGGCTGTCGGCAGCATCATTGGCAACCTGAAAGACATGGCTGTGGGCATGGGCAGCGAGATCGACAAACAGAACAAACAGATCGACCACATCACTGAGCAGGTGAGGAGCTCGGACCTTCTGATGCTCGTCGTCACGTCAGCGTAGTAAATGTTGGACCAGCAGCTTCTTCTTCCTGCTGACTGCAAGTTCATCAGCTAACGACTCGTTTAATGAGCAAAACACATTTTAACGTGAAACTTCCTCCAACAACTAAACAGCGTCTGTGTGGGATTATTAGATTAAAATCAGTACGTTTCATAGATTATCCTCGGCTGTTTCCATTTTACTGAGATCAAATGATTTCTATTAACATACAGGAAATGAAAATCTGGCCTAAAAAGTTATTTAATTGATTTATGAAAAATAAAATAATTGCTAAAACAGACAAGTTTTATTAAATACTATAAAGATTACAACGTGCAGACTTATTTTCATTTTTTGATGTAACATTATTTCACCAACGATCGAGTTCTGTGACTTTTAAACATGAACAAATTAAAAAGGAAAAAATCGTGAAGGGAAACGTTGATAACTTTGAACAGACGTTCATTTTGCTGCTGAACGTTTCCTGTAAATCATTACAGCAACAAAAGTCATTTCATCAAATGAAGCGGCCACTTCTCTTCACTTGTGCAATACAGAAATAACCCAAGATTCACATATTTCATGGATAGTGTAACAACACGAGGAATCAAAATGTTGGACTCGTCAATAAAGACTCGTGTGATGCACCTGCCACACATCAAGCTACACACGTGGATGTTGTCCAGGGAGCCCCCGCCAACAGAAGCGAGTGGTTCCGCCGGTGCCCGTCAGTCCTGAGGCACAACCTCAGAGCTGCTTTCCACCCGGCCGGCTCGTTCAGAACCAGAGTTCATGAGCAAAGGTCATAGGTCAGGAACGTCTTACAGCTCAGCTCCCTCTTCACCACAACGGACCGGCACAGAGTCCACAGTACTGCAGACGCTGCACCAATTGGTCCGTCAGTGTGAAGCTCCGTTCTTCTCTCACTGGTGAACAAAACCCAGATACTTGAAGTCCTCCACTTGAGGCAGAACCTCCCCCTGGACCCAAACACACTGTTAGTTCATCATTTAGTCTGACGTGCTCAAGTCCAAGCGTTCTGTGCTTTGCATCATATGTTGAGTGGAAATGTCCTGGATTACTCTTCAGACACGTTTGTTCTGCTGGCTTTGGGTCGTTCAGGCCCACGTTCCCTGACAAATGGTTCTGGACTCCGGTGTCAGGAGCAGCATCTGGAGCAGGGAGGTCCAGACACCTCTTTCCACAGACACGTCCTCCAGCTCTTCTGGGAGGACTCCAAGCAGTTCCCAGGACAAGAGAGACGTAGTCTCTGCAGCGTGTCCTGGGTCTGCCCCGGGGACTCGTCCCAGTCGGACACGTCTGAACCACCTCGTCTCCTCTGGATGTGGAGGAGCAGTGGTTCTCCTCGGAGTCTCTCCTGATAGCTGAACTTCTCAGCCTGTCTCTAAGGGAGAGCCCAGCTGCCCTGCACAGGAACTCATTTGGAGCTCCTGGATCCTCAGTTTTCTGGCTCATCACCATCTCTGAGAAGTGTCATTGACATTTTGTTTTACCAGCAACACCGTCCGGTGTACTAAGGTCACAATGCACCTTCTTCACTTTACCCGTCTTATTTTAATGAAAGACAGACCCTTGAACATACCTCAGGAACATTCCAAACTTGTTGTCAGTGGTCAGGAGGTGGTGCTCTGAAATATTCACCAAGTTGTTAAAACTACCACAAAAATCTGTAAACTCAGTTTCTCATGAATCGGAGGAACTCGGGACGATAAATTGGACGGCCCATTTATCGGTGCACCCTAAACCTCAATCTCATTCACTACCCAGAGGGAGGAGCTTGTAGCCAACCATGTATTGCACATTGTGCTGAATATTTCCTCGTCCTCCGTCTTTGTGCTCGTTGAGGCAAAGTTCAAGTTTTTCTCAGCTCTCGCTCCGATACAAACGATTCACGTCTTTTCTTCTCTTTTAGGCGGACATGAACAAACTGCGCATCGACGCAGCCAACCAGAGAGCCAACAAGCTCATCAAGTAGTCCCAGCTCTGCTCCTTCATCCTCCAACCTCCTTTGCTACACACATGCACATTGTATTTTCTGCACATGCACAGACGCACACACTCTTTACAAAGAGATCTGGTCCTGAAGACGTTTTGCCAGCGATGTGTCGGTGGTGCCATCAGACATGTTGGGACGGAGCGTTGCATTGTGGGGATCAGGAACTTGAACCAAAGAAGAAGTGACATCACTGTGAGGGAGGAGCCACGGATCAGCTGTTTTCTCTTCGCTTTTGTTTCTTAGTTTATCTTTGTCTCTCCCGAGAACTGTTTGTCAGAAGATGCTGTTTCATCGTAGCCTTCCTGAGAACCTGAATGCACCTTGGATCAGCTGATCCACTCAAACCGTTTGTTGCCTTCAAACTTTCTCGTGTCGCCAAACACAAATGAGCTGTGGATAAAAACGCTTTGCTCCCGTGTCGTTTCTTCCAGCTCCAGTTCAAAGCGTGCCTTGGTTCTGTCAGTGATGACATCACACGTGAAATTAGATTAGAATACTTTGTAAGAACAGCTCGGAGCTGCTGATGTAAGAAGCCTTAACGCTGCTCGTGCTTCTCATGTGACCCAAGGTTCTGAAGGTTCTGAAGGTTCTGAGGCCGAAGCTTCTCTTTTGTATTCTAAAAATAAAGCTTATCAGTCGTTCTTCATGTGAAAGTGTCTTCAAGTTTTTCTCTGCAGCGTTCATGTAAATATGAAATATTCTGTATTAAACCTAGTAACTCCATTAATCTAATCCTGTTGTTTGACTTAATCCAGACTGATGGCTGTGCAGGACGCCTTCCATCAGGTCTCGTGTGGAGCGTTTCTCTTCTACCTGCAGCAACGTTAAATCGTTCAAATGAACGTGCGCTCGGTTTTTCTACGTCTAGTGAGAGCGGGCCGGGTCTCGGACACGGCAGCAGTTTCTGAGAGAAGTGGTCGGTTGTCACGGCGACAGCTTCTGCAGCGTCCAGCTGTTTTCACTGCACAGCTGTGGGAAAATGAGAGTAATTTCAAAATAAAAGCACAATTTAATTTAGACTTATCAAAGATGTAACTAGATGCACAAACGAGTCACGAGTAAATGTGGGGAGTGAAGTTCTGTCAGGTTCATCTGGAGAAATGTTTCCTCGTCTTCTGACTTCAAGAAGGTTTGCTTTGCAGACAAGCACCTGCTGGGTTGGTACCAGTCTCTGCTGGGTTGGTACCAGTCTCTGATCCATCAGTCTTCCCTCTGGTCTGTCTGTGCTCAACAAAAGGTCCAACATCACCTGAACTGCACCTTCCACTGCAAAGAAACTGGTGTGTGTGTGTGTGTGCGCGCGCGCGCGCACGCGTGCACGTGCGTGCAGATTGATTAGATGTTTAGAACTTTGGTTCTGAACTGGTTTTACTTACAGACCAACAAGTCGTGACCCAGATGAAGGAAAATGTTCTGAAATGAGTTCAAAACAGTTTGGACCCGATATCCTGATGCTGCTCAATAATCCAGGTAGAAAAATCTAAAAAAGTTAAATCTGGTCCTCTGGACCTGAGATGAGACAGAACACACAGCATCCATCCTACATCCATCCAATCTAACATCCATCCATACATCATTCAACCAATATCCATTCATCCATCCTAGGATGTATGTATAGGATCCATAAATTGAAAAAGTGGTTTGATATTAACAAATTATCACTAAATTTAGATAAAACCAAGTTTGTTATTCAGGAATTGTAAAGGGCATAGCGATTTACAAATAATACTTGATAATGTGACTGTGGAGAGAGTGACTGAAACTTGTTTTTTGGGAGTATTGATTCATAATAAGATCTGTTGGAAACCTCGTATTAAATATGATCAATCTAAAATAGCTAGAAGTATTGCAGTTCTCCCTAATGCTAGAAAATTTGTAAATTCTTCTGCCCTTCATATTATTTACTGTTCACTTATTTTGCCATATCTAAGTTACTGTGTGGAAGTTTGGGGCAACACTTACAAAACTTCACTTCAACCATTATGCACATTACAGAAAAGAGCCATTCGAATAGTTCACAAGGTTGATTTTTATTGTCATACCAACAATTTATTTATAGATTCTTATTTCCTGAAACTCACAGATTTGGTAGAGTTTCAAACTGCACTATTTATGTATAAAGTTGGAAACAAACTATTGCCAGAAAATATTCAAAAATGATTTACTGATAGAGTCGGGAGATATGACGATAGAGAAAACCTAAATTTCAGAACTTTGAATGTTAGAACAACAATGAAGAGAATGTGCATTTCTGTCATTGTGTGAACATCTGGAATAAACTGAGCAAAGAGTTGAAGCAAAGTCCAAGCATGAGGTGTTTTAAGAAAACACTCAAAATGGTTATTATTCAAAAGTATAAGGATGAACAGGGGTGATGAACTGGCTGGTAATTCTAGAACTGTGGATGAACTGGGCAATTGGGTGCTGGTTTGTGTGTGGGTGTGTAAATAGGTATATATTATCTATGTATTTATGCAGGTAGATGTGTATGTATATCTGTGTGTGTGTGTATTACTTTCATCTGGTCCAGAAAATAGTATAGTTATTATTATTATTACTATTTATTTGTTTATTATTATTATTTTTGGAAAGCATACTGGCAACAGGAAGACTATTTATGCCATGAATTAATGAATGGAAAAGGGTTATGATTATATAAGTTAAACTTCATCTACTCCTTTTCAGACTCACAGTCACCAAAAAAGTGGAGTATTTACATGTATTTGAATATATAAAAATTGAGTATGTATATTTGATAGTAAGATATTGTATTTACACTTAGAAACATGAAAGTCTTTATTATAATGTTGGTGAAATGTCTGTCTGAAATAAAAAAAAAATATCTATTCAACATCAATCAAACATCCATCCAGTCATTCATTATCCATCCATCAGCCATCATCCATCCATCCATTCAACATCCATCCAGTGTGTGAGAGGCAGACACTCTGGACATGTCTCCAGTCCATCACAGGGACACATGGAGACAAACATTCTCTCACTCGCTCACCTAGAGACAATTTAGTTACCAATCAGTCTAACATGCATGTTGTTGGTCTGTGGGAGCAAAGTGGAGTAATCCCACAGCACGGACAGAACATGCGAACTCCACCCAAAAAGGCCCCTGACCGGGCTTTGAACCAGCGACCTGCTTGCTGGGAGGCGGCAGCTTTACCAACTGAGCCACCATGAGCTGAGCTGAGGACCAACTGGTGGAAAATGTAAGCCACGTGTTTTTTTTGTCACATATTGTTTTTTAATTTTTATTTCTTAACATTGTTTGTCCAGTTTTCAGCTGCGTCCCACCAGTTGAACCAGACCAGTTGACCAGTTTAGAGCACAACCACATCGTGTTAGCTGATGTTGATTAGCTGTGGTGGGCATCTAAACATAAACCAAGGACACCAACAATTAATCACCGACTTCATTACACCTGAGTTTCATTAAAAATCTTCATGAGATATTTTGCTAACAGACCAACAGGTAATGCTAGTTTTAGGCAAAGATCTTGTGCAACTAGCACTTGGTACGTTTTGTGAATGACTCTGAGATACCTCGCCAAACTTTAGTTCAATCTCCATAAATTGATCAGAATTACTTTTGCTTAATGTTCGCTCAGATCTGTTGGCTCTGGAGGCCATCTTGAATTGGTTTGTCTCAAGTCATGATTACTTCACGAAAGTTTCAATAAAATGTGTTCATTGATTCATAAGATATTTTGTTAACAGAGTTGGCTGCAAATAAGGAAGAACAAAATTCAAAAATGTTGTGCAGTGCATGCTGGGAGCATGTTCTGGGGACCAGTGCGGTGTGGTGAGCTTTGTGACAGGTGAGACAGTGACTGACTGGAATCAGATGTTCACATGCATGAACCCAAAATAGAAGCTTATATTTTAACATAAATGGTTTTAAAATCATGATAAAATGTTTGACACGATTGTGCAGAGATGTTCTTTAAATCAATGGTTCTTTCACAGTTGTCTCATGGAGCTCCTGTCTGGTCAACCTGCTCACTGGAAAGTCTCTACAATCAGGCCGTGAAGGTTTTATACCAAAAGATGATCAGATTTCATCACTGTAATGTTTTAGATAAGTTCAGTATTCTAGAGTTTTCCAGTTTTATAAATTACAAATTTTAAAATTGATCTTGAGATGTTTACATGGACCTGCAGCCAGACCATGAATCAATGATGCAGAAAGTGCAGCAGATCTCCCAGAGCAGCTTTAAATGACAACTGTTTCTGTAGAACCACGTTTGTTCAACGTTCTCTCTCTGTGAGAGGATCCACAGTTTGTTACTCACTTCCTGTCACTTTAAAGTTTGTAACCAGATTCAATAAGTTTAAAAAACAAACTAAACTCTGGCTGTGTCAAAAACAGCATTACATTCATGATTAATGTCTTTTATTATGTTTTCATCCATTTGTTTTATGAGCATGACTCATGAAGTTTAGAAAAATCCTTTAGTTTTCAGATATGATCTTCCATTTGGTCTAAACGTATTTAAATTAATGTACCGTTTGTTTCACCTCTGTAACGGAACAGCAGCAGCACGGCTCCCTGTCGGTGCAGCAAGGTCTGTTCTGCAGCACCGATTACAAAGAACTTTTAGAACTTTTTGTTTGCGCCTACACTGCACACCCACACCACGGGTATGACCGCGACACACACGTGGAGTTTTCTGTGTCTCTGCCTTGCCATCTTGCCATCATGGTTCAGTTTCCGGTCCCTCTCCAGCTTTGGGCTCAGGCCTGTCGTGGCGGCCGTCTCCATGATCTTCCACCTGTCTGCACAGACTGAACTCTACAGACCCATTTGGTTCTGCGGGGAAATCTTGGATGTTCTCCGTCTGCTGGACCCGGTTCTGTTAGGCAGTCTGAGAGGGCAGCTGCTATGGTCCTTATTACTATTAAGCTGCTGACAGGACCACGCCACTAACAGAACCATGCTGTAGATGTTTTTCTTTTTCACTTGTGGCGCCTTGTTTTTTGTACTTTTGCTGCATGCTTGGGTATTTCTTGTTTCTTTTTTGGCAAGTTGAGACAGTTCTTCTCGTCCTCATCATTTCATTGCATTGTTGACCTTCTGTTGATTTTTGTATATGACAAATGAACAACCCCTCTTGCGCTGCCACCTTACCATGGTGGAGGGGTTTGAGTGTCCCAATGATCCTAGGAGCTATGCTGTCAGGGGCTTCATGCCCATAGTAGGGTCACCCAAGGCAGACAGGTCCTAGGTGAGGGACCAGACAAAATGCAGCCCAAAGACCCCTTATGACAAGCACAGTCTATGGAAACAGTGTTCCCTCGCCCGGACGTGGGTCACCGGGGCCGCACTCTGGAGCCGGGCCTGGAGGTGGGGCACGCTGGCGAGTGCCTGGTGGCCGGGCTTTTACCCATGGAGCTCGGCCGGGCACAGCCCGAAGAGGAGACATGGGTCCCCCTTCCCATGGGCTCACCACCTGTAGGAGGGGCCAAAGGGGTCGGGTGCAATGTGGGATGGGTGGTGGCCGAGGGCGGGGACCCTGGCAGTCTGATCCTCGGCTACAGAAGCTAGCTATTGGGACGTGGAATGTCACCTCACTGGTGGGGAAAGAGCCT